GCTCAAGAACTTGAGGAAGTGGGAACACGGAATATAAGAGTGCACAGTGCACGAGAATGTCATAGGCTCATTTTACATCCGTATTTAGGTAACAATATCAAATGTATATGTGTCTAGACTAGCAGATTTTCGATGATGCATATGGTTATACTGAATCACCAAAAAATACAAATTATTGTTTTAATATCAAGATGAACATCGTGTTTACTCTGAAGAAGAAGAAAACATAACACTCAAAGAAGATAAAGATGAAAGAGCATATGAGTTGCACAAACAACCCATTTTCACTTTTGGATTACTTGTTGTTCCATGATTAATAGCCACGTTTTTTGGAACCTGAGGTTTGAAAGTTAGTAAAATACATTTTAAAGTGTTTTCTCTTTGAGCATGGTTTAAAACATAGTAGAATATGTTTCTTAAGTTCTGTAAATTATGGAAAAGATCAAGAAATGTAGGCATTGAGTGGAAACTTACCTTTGTTAATGTTAATAATAAATTACGTCGATTTGTGGCCTGTACTTAAATGAATAACTACATTAGCTAAATAACTTTTGTCGGAGAAATTCATTTTTGGGAGTTTACGTAAAGTTGATTGGCCATATTATTTTCTTGGCAATTTTGTAAAACTAATGTGATTTTTGCTAAGTTAGAAATAATGAGATCAAATGTTCCCGTGTAACAAAAATACCAAAGCATTGCCGTACTAGATATAAAGAAATACAAGTGAACAAAACAAAAAACCTTGATGGCCATATTATTTTGTTGGTATTATTGTAAAACAAAAATGTGTTTTTTTTCTATGCTAGAAATAATGAGACCAAATGTTCCTGTGTCAAAAAATAGCAAAGCATTGTCGTACTAGATATAAAATACAAGTGAACAAAAGAAAAACATAAATACCAAGGTCCCTGTGTCAAAAAATAGCAAAGCATTGTAGTACTAGATATAAAAATACAAGTGAACAAAAAAAAATACCAAAGCTCAGTATAGCTCTCATCATCTAAGAGATGACTACTGTGACGACCCAAGTTGTCACCAGAGCGTTTTCATCATCACTCTGGATTTTTGTGGGGTGAGAGAGGCTCGAACTCTCGACCTCAGGATCACTCGCTTTCAGCTATGAGACCTACGCGCTAGCCAACTGCGCCACCACCCCTTCGGTGACAAGTTCTCAAATACTGCATTGAAGTAGACACATATATATCCGCCGACTCAACCTGACAAAGCTCAGGAACACAATAGGAAGTCATCAGCCAAAAAAACAACTACAGCATACAGTGCAGGTAGCAACTGATAAAAGACCTCTGCAAAAAGGATTTCTCATTCATCGAAAGACGGGCGTTCTGATACACATTCTCTTTACAGTTATTGTTCACCTAGCCACGCATCTACTTACATGGACGACATGCTTCAAAATGTACACCAAACAAAACAACTAGGGTAAATCCTGGTCATTCTACCTCCAAAGCAGTCAGGTCACCGCTGCGTATACAACCTTGATGGCTTGATCAGTCAGGACACCGTTTCAGTGTCAGCTTTTCAGTTATCGGGAACTCTACACAGCCTTGGACATGACCGTGAACGGAATGACCACCCGGTGACCTTTGTCCCCGTAGAACTCGACGTCCCCGAAGCTCACCGAAGAGTTGGTCATGGTGGCGTTCACGACAAAGGTCACGAGCTGCTTCTGCCCGCTGGGGATGAAGAACTGAGCCGGTGTCGCAGACGCCGCCACCCCGTAGGGGGCGTTGCAACTGACCGTGTAGTTCTCGTCGCTCGCCACGTTGGTGACCGTTCGTGTTACTATTCTCGACTGGTTGAGCACGGCTATGGTGATCGACGGCAGGTTTAGGTCTGCTCCGGTCATGGTGGAGGCCCCGCAGCTATTGCCGGTGTAGTTCGCCACTACTGGAGCAGAACCATTTATACCACACAGAAAGGAGAGGTAATCATCATAGCCTGTAGTTTACAAGAAAAACAAAACAATTTGAAAGGAGTTAGTCACACAGTCATGTTTGTCAAGCGCGAAACTACAATCAGAACCTAGAGGGTTATTTGCACTATATATGCACCCCTTGGCATAGCCATGCTAACAATCTGATAAACTGTTGGTTCGACATACATTGGCCTAACACCTGATGTCAATCAAAACCCAGCTGCTAGTCTCAAGCAATACACCACAGTTCACACTAGTTGTGGCAAGCCCAAGCTAATCTTAGCAGTAACATAAACAAGAGATGATTTTTTTTTTGAGCAAATAAACAAGAGATGAATGGCCATTGAACTTACTGCAATCAAATATGAGCCCAGGGTCCAAAGCAGCAGTGGCATTGGCAAACCCATTCCCCATGTCAAAAGGTGTAGCTGGAGTTTGAGTGGAGTCTGGGTTGCTGTATGTTCGCTGTGACATGATTGGATTCCCCTGCTTGTCACTGAGAGTTGTAGTGGTAGACAGCGCGGAACCTATAGCTGCTGGGTTAAAAGAAGGAAACTTCTGCTTGATTAGCGCCGCAAGGCCAGCAATGTGTGGTGCAGCCATACTTGTACCAGAGAGCATCGCAAAACTTTCACCTGAAGAGGAAAATCAGACAACCATCATGACTTGTTCATGGCAATGGAGAATCTGATATTAGGTCAGATTCTAATGCTAAGCTAGTTGTTAGCGGCGTAAATACCCGAACAGAAAAATACAAATGTAAGGCTGTACTTTTTGTTTATGGCAGTTTTGCTGGCAATGGAAGGAGCAAAGAATCCAATAATTGCATATTAATTTACAAAAGTACCATTCTCAGTCCTCATATGCTTCACTCACAGTTCATAGCATGGCAACCATTAGTTTTTTATCTACCAAATACATATTTGAAGAACGTAATACAATGAGGGAAAACATATTTTTTTGGAAATACACTTCTATTCTATTGGAATGCAATTTGTATGTTTAATGCTCTTGAGTACTAATACTTAAGTATTAACTGGAATAGAAGGTAAATTGTCAAACTACCGGTAAATTCAGCAGAATCCAATCCACGCGAACTCCAAGCACCCCAAATGGAACTGCCAGGTGCTACCACATTTGGTTTCAAGATATCGGCATTGGCCAATGTATTATCCTCAGGGTCAGGTCCCCTAGCAGAATAAAACATCACTTTTGGTGCCGAACTACCATAATTTGGCTTCAGACCTCCTAGTATTTTCGCAACTGCACTGAAGTTGACAACTTTGTCTGACGTCCCATCTCGTACAAGCGAATCGTTGTAATAACTTAGGAATATCTGGCAATATCGAGTCACATATGTTAGCACCTTAGTTTTTCTTAAGAAATAGAATAATTTTCCCACATGAGTAATTCAGTTGATCTACCATCAACTGTTACTATACTGCACTCAACAACTAAACTTGAAGCCAAAAAAAGATAGACTAAAACCATGAGAACAGGAAAAAAAACTATGGAGAAGAGAGACCGATTAATCAACACGCACATAACAGCCAGAGCAAATTAAGCTTAGCAACACCAGCAGCTGAAAGAAGCTTGGATTAAAATGAACAGAAGTTCGGGAAACAGGATAAGTCTACTAAAATGTTGCAAGAGCTGAATAGGCACTTAAACCTTTTAACTTCCTGATGCATTTACCATGCCCAATAATTATGAAGTATCAGACTTCATACATTAAGGCTCAGTTTGTGGTTACTGAAATGTGCCGTGCTAAAGTTATTTATAATCCGCTTTCGGAAAATAACCATGGAAGCAGCAAAAGGTTTGGTTAAACAAGTGATAGAATAGGCAAAAGCTGATTAACAAACGTGATTATCATAATCAACTGCAATGCCAAACGCCAGATTCATACAGCAAATCCAGAACTATTGAATACCATAACATAAGCTGTTAAACAGGACAAGAAAAAAGACTGATCAAGGTCTAAGAAATAAAAGGATATAAAGAGTAAGAATAATAAGGCTGAAGCATTGGCTGCCATACCTTAGAGTCATCAGATGATGGTATTATAAGTCCAGGTATATCCATTGGAGTTGGGTTCAGCTGGAAACCAAGGACAAAAGGATCCAAGTAAAATATAATTCCTGCAGCACTGACATTCTTTGCTGTATCCAAAGCTTGCTTCACAGAAGAGAGGCCAAGCACAAATCTTATGGAATAGCTGCAGACCAGTATCTTCCCCCTTATCAGATCTTTATCTAGATGGCTTGGATCTTGGCACTCTCCTAGGGACATTTCAATTGGAGTAGTTGTATAATTTTGCAGTGCATGAGGTGCAGCAATCAGATTGTACATGGAATCACCATCTGTTCCAGCTGTGTTTGCAGTTTAACAAAAGTTAAAAAGGTCGCCATGTGCAGTCGTGCACAGAGCACATAATGAAATAACTTAATAGGAACTTACGAGCAAGGCCAACTCCTGAAATGGTCAAATTGTTGCCAAGTACAACATAATTGTTGTACTCCCTGTCATGGGCAGAAGCGCCTACAGTAAAAATCCATGGACTGTATGAAGACATGCTCTTAGGGGAAGGACCAGTATTTCCTGCAGCTTGCACAACAAATATGCCATCTTTCACAGCTGACATTAGTGCCATATCAATTGGATTAAAGAATGTAGCCAATCCAGGAGGCCTCCTATTAGGGGTAATGGATAAACTGATTATGTCAACGTTATCTTCAGCTGCCTGCAAATGTGATGCAAGGAGTTGTTGTCAACAGCGCTGCAATAGAGCATTCTTCATTATTTAAAATGCTTCTAGTGAGTTGGCAGATCTTTGCCAAGAATATCACACCAAAATTTTTAATAATGCCACGGAAACTTGCAACATAAATATATGTCGAACACTTACTAAAATTTTAGTCAACACATTAGTACAACTGGTCATCACAGAATTCGAACTTCCAGATGCAGATCTATTCAATAAATTTGAACAGCTTATAATCTTTTCTTGTAGTGTGCTCGTCTTGATTAGCTAGTATATGCTACAATAATTGATCTCTTGGAATATCAAGCCCATTAGATTATTATTATTTTCGTTCAAAAAGGAGGTAGAAATCATGCCTTTTCTTCATGCAGGGATCACATTCTAAAGTGGGTCATTAGTTTTGTGCTTACACGAACAGAAAATAAGCAGCATGCAGAAAGATCGTTACCTGATCTATTGCAGCCACTACATCAGCAGCAAAACCTCCAAAACCTTTGTACAGCGCTTTATAGACAGCAATGCTGAAAAATAAGTTATTATTATATATTTGGAAATAAAGTGGATCATATCTATCTCCCTAAACCAAAAACAAGTAGACTTACTGTGCACGAGGAGCCATTCCACTTGCATTCCCAAAGTGATGCCCAGCCACAATAACAGGTATTCCATGATTACCAGCCGCGATTGATGCTGTGTGGCTGTATGCACAAATCTTAACTTCAGAAATAATAATCTCTGAAAGTGGCCTCTCAAAATAATTTCCTTGCAGTAGTTTGTTATTCTTGTTAAGCAACATCAGTTAGAAGTCAGATAAGGCCTACACCCAAAGGTAGTTCAACTAGTCCATATGGAAAGCAATGCTTGAGTTCAAGTTGAAAGAAACAAACCATGGAAGCAAAACAGTAGTAAATAACAGTTTATCCCAGTATTTCTGCATAAATCATTTCTTTCATCTTAATTGGATCTATCTATTACTAGCATGATATCAAGTTAAAACAAACAAAACAACAGTAAATAACCATATCTCCCGGTATTTCTGCATAAATCATTTCTTACAACATAACTTTATCCATTTATTACTAGCATGACTTATACCTGAGCATTTACATAACAGAACCAGGCCAGGTTCATCGTCAACTGGAGTAGAGAAGTAAAAAAGAAGACTAGGCTAGGTTCATGAAGTGTTTAGTATTTGAATGAAACTTTTGAATACAATTAGAAAATTTGGGTAGTCAAACAACATAGAATTACTGAGGGTTACTGGAGGAAACAAGAAACAACTGTGGAACAAAAGAGCTGCATGTGTGCCTACACAGCCTGACGCAGTAGTAGGGACTGGGGAGCATTCATTTTCTTCGTTTACTAGTAATTGTGATAACCTGATAGGTAAATCAGAAATACTTACGTCCCATGACCATCACTATCAGATGGTGAAGCAAGATCTTGAGAGGCATTGAAGACTCCTCGGGTTATTGCAGATGCAGCAAAATGTCGAGCTCCAACAAGCTTTCTGTTGCAGGACCCAGATGGAAAATCACTTGTAACCTCACAATTACCAGAGTAGTGAGCAGGAACTGGATAATTATCGGTTGTCAAGTCATCTGCAAAGCTAGGGTGATTTGGGTCGATTCCTGTATCAATGAGGCCCACAACAACACCCTGGCCAGCACATTGTGGACCACCATCTTGCACCCAAGCACCTTCTGGCAGGCCAAGGAATTCAGGGGTATAAGTTGTTGCCGTCCTAACAGAGAAATCCAACATTATGTTTGCCACTTCTTTTCTCCTATTTAGCTTCTCTGCCTTTTAATGCAAGCAGAAAACAAGTTAAAACGTGTATAAGGAATAAGTCGATCTGAACAATCTCCTACAGGTTCCAGAAAACAGATAGGAAAAAAGAAATAAGGATAACAACTAACAAGGTGAAAGAAACAAATCGCAGGAGGTCAACAAAAAAGGAATATTCAGTGATTATCAATGCTTCATAATTACATGAATTTCCTTATTTAACCATATAAAGTTTGCAAAACATTTCATGCGCTTTTCTTTGACAAGCGATAGACAGACACTACAAGCTAATTTTATGATAGTACAGAAATAGCGAAAGGAACAAACATAAACAATTGGATACCTGCTGAGGAGTGAGGACAACAGCAAAACCATTAATCAAGTAGTGGTAACTGTACAACTTTGTATACTGCTCTCCTCTTAGTGTCTTCTTCAGGAGAGAATTTTGAAGGCGCACTAGGAGTGAGCCATAATTCATAGATTTGGGTGAAGCATGCCTGCATTAGCATGGTTAATATTAATACGAGAAACAAAGCTAACACATTCATGTTTTTTCCATGAAAATAACTGCTGGACCTTCTCAGATAAAAGGCTAAATCAATATAATAACTTTAGCTGACCCTTCATAGTAGCATACACCAAGTAGACAAAAGTAGATACTGGCTGTTTCCCAATTAATTCTGGCGTGGAAAATTTTATGTAGTAGCTCTAGTTTGTGTTTGACATAAGTCCCTCCCTACAACACTTGAATTAACAATTCTTACAATAACAGGGTCTACTCGATGTGAATTAGGCGTAAATGAAACTTAAGCAAAAATCTCATAAAACAAATGGAAAATTCAATTCATATAATATCAAATCATTAAAGATAACCGAGAGCATGATATAGACAACAAAGGCATTCAAAAATTAAATCTCTAAACAAGTAATGTTGCATTTTATGGATACTAAGTTGTCGTTAATACATGTACTGGTAATAATTAAGTACACACAGTATGGATGTTAAGATGACTGCACTGGCCAATTGTCAACAAATAATAATGGGAGTGATAAAAATTTCAACAACTAATTACAGTGTAACCAGAGTAGTCGGCTGGAGTGACCTTCCAATCATCGGAATGATAGCACAATCAAATTTGCCCAAAACTGGCCCAAAATATAAGTGTTATTTGTACCACCTCGAGAAGTGCTAAAACCTCAAACTGGGGAACACTTTTTTTTATAGGGGTATAAAGTGCGGAATCTAAGTGGCGCAAATTGCAAGGGTGGGGATTAACACTCTATGGAGGAAGCATAACAATCGGGGAAATTTATGCTATATAAGAGCGCCGCCCACCTCGGCTTCCTGAGGATGCTGGTGGCCGGGTTATCCCCTCCGCCGCCGCCGGCGGCGGCAACCCTGCTGCTCCCAAACCTCTCCAGGTCGAGGCGCTTGTGGGACACCGGCGCCTGCTTCATGGTCACAATGTACACCGCGGCGCCGTCCTCGAAGCCGCGGACGACGCCGCCGCCCAGCAGCGCGACCGCAAGAAGCGCCGCCCACAGGAGGGGAACAGCCCACCGCTCCCTCCGAGCCACCCCCATTGCCTCGCCGCCCCGAGGCTCCAAAGGGAAGGGGGACAAGAATCCCCGAGGAAGGCTAGCTGCGCCCTTGGTCCATGGCCGGGAGCACAGGACGACTGAGCCTGCAGTTGGGCGAGGTGGAGCAGCTGCTGGCCTTGCACGCGGCGGAATAATGGCGAGGGCGAGGGAGGCGTGCGCTTTTAAGCCGTGCCCGAGTCAAGCGTGGGAAGAGAGGAGGGGAGGGGAGCAGGCAATAAAGAAGTGACCACTGCAGCAGGAGCAGGAGGCGGAGGGAGCGGCAAAGCCCTCGCCTCGCCTGCTGCCGCTTTGGCGTGGGCGCCTCCACCTCGTTGGCCTTTTGTTGCTGCGCGCCTGTGCCTCCTGGTCCTGGGTGGTGTATTCTATGCCTGTGTGAACGGGGTGAGGTGGTGGCCACAGTGAAGGAAAATATCAGATGATACCAATCCTTACATGCTAGTACTATGATACCAACCTTCAAAATTCATCTAAATATGTTTAAAAAGTTGAAAAAGAATCATGGATGTTCACGACACATGTGTTGACAATCCATTAAAAAATCTGATCAAAATTCGACATAGGCATGTGGAAAAAGAAAGGAAAATCTGTCATGGAGAAACAAAGCCGGCTACAGTGCTACACACGGGCACACGGCTCAGCTCAGCGTTCCAGGAAGAAGACTTGGGGCACTGGAGTGAGTGATTTCCAGCTGTTCGCCCGCCGGCTTTGTACATTTTCACCACAGAGGCAGAGGAAAAGAACTCGCAGAAAAAAGACGGTGAAAAGAGGCTGCCTTCCGGTGGTACTCAAAGAAAAGAAAGAAAGTGCAGCTTGAGCGCTGTCTTGACGGTGCTATATGAAACGTCCGTGTCAGTACAAACATTATGTTGGTCCTGGTTGCTGGACCGAGCGCCGCAAATCCACCTCTCATCCACTCCCGTTTGGTACAGTTTTACTAAAGGCTAACACGAGCTTTGCTGCACAGTTAATTTTATGGATGTGTCTAGGGCACATCTAGATGTGGTCTAGTTATTGCACATCTAAGTGGGTGAATCAAGCATAAAGAGAAAAAGAAAAAAGAAAAAAAAATATCCACACGAATCTTAATATAAGATCAATGATATAGGACTTAGTTGTGCAATACTTATTGCACATCTAGATGTGCTTTAGCAAAATTGTAATTTTATTACGTTTAGTACGTACCATGAAAGTGGTCGCCCAAAACCCTCATGGGCACAATTAGGTCGGTCATGTAAAACGATCCTTCTGGTTTTGGGAAGGTTCATTCAGGTTTTCTCTTTTCCTTTTTCTCTACGGGTCTTTTTTTTTCCTTCTTTTCCTTTTTGTTTTTATAATTTTTCGATTTCTTTTTAAAATTTGTGAATATGTTTTAATTTATAATATTTTTTAAAATTCAGGAATATACTTTGCATGTTTGAACATTTTTTAACATGTGAACATTTAAAATTTTGTGAACAGTTTTTAAATGGGCAGCGCTACTCGTCGGCCGGCGGATCTTTTTCACTAAATTCAACGCGGGATAGCCCTCATATTTAGCTCCTAGCTTTGCAACAAGGATGATGTTGCGCTTCGGATGTTCGCAACAGAGTTTGAGTTGCGGAACTTTTGCAACAAACGGCTTGTTGTAGTTTTTTTGCAACAAAGCTAATGTTGCAATTATTTTTTTGGCAGTGCTATGTGTTCGTCGGCTGATTTTTTTGTAAGATCGTCTGCATCATCAAGTGCCCGAGCGGCGCTCTCCACCTTTGTAACAAAGTTTAAGTTCCATAAACTTTTGCGAGGAGATCATGTTGCGAAAAACTTTATACTAGGAGTTATGTTTTAGAAAACTTTTGCAGCAGTAGTTATGTTTCAGAAGCTTTTGCAACAGAGGTCATATTGCAGAAAAATCACCGCACTCGCATCGGTGCACTGTCGTGTTTTTCTGTGTAACATTCCTCATGTTTCAGAAACATGGACGATGTTGCAATCCAAGACTTCATCGATCGGCTCTTTTGCAACAGCAGAGCTCGTAGCATCAGTGGTGGACGGCAGCCACCGTTGTAGCAGGTGTTGGCAGTCGTGGCTTGCTTGCCAGCATGGTTTCAATCTTGAGGCAACATGTGGTTTCTGGCTGGAGGAGCAGTCGTATTGCTATGGGTGGGAGCATGAGATGGATAGCACATGCTAGGAGAAAGGATGAGCATTTGGCGCTTGTGAGGATAAGGATGCACTGTTACTTGCTGATGTTTCCACAAAGAGAGAGAGGACATGTGACCAAGAGAGAGCGCCAGGCAGCCATGATATTGAATCTGATCCGACGACAACTCATCTGGCGGATGTCTACCACGGGATCAGCCAGCTGACAGTAAGAGTTTACCTTTTTTAAATTCATAATATTGTTTAAAATCATGAACATTTTTTAACCATTTAAAAACATGAACTGTTTAGAAACTCAGGAACACTTTTAAAACTCTTGAACGTTTTTCAAAATTCTTGAATATTTGTTTCTTGCTTGTGAATAGTTTTAAAATTTGTGGCATTTCTTGATATTTGCAAATACACACATGGCGCTACATGGGTTGCAGACCTGCGTGTTTGCTCGCAGTCCTGTTGTGTTCTTAAAAATTTGAAAATCTTACGGCTCATTTGTTGCCTACTCAAAGAATCCATGGCATTTTTTCGTTGAATCACGCATAACCATGTGTATCATAACATATTCACAAGGAGGGGTGGAACAGCACCCATCCACGAGTACATTGAAAGGACATGGCTAATCTCACGGTCGCCGGAAGAAAATCGTCATTTTTTTAGAAAAGGAGTATGACCTGCATGCGGTCATTTTATTGATTATTTTCGAGGACCTTACAAAGTATTACAACAATATGCCTAAATCCGCCATCTTGGCAACATATGCCACTACTCCTATCCATATGCTGAAGGGATGCTAGCTGGGCCAAATATCCAGACCACTCACCTAAACCTATAATCAAAAGCCGGAAGCCCCAGCCGAGCCACATACTGGGTCTGGGGCACAAATCGGTCTGACGCACTCACATGTGTCGTCGCCGCCATCTTCCACAGGCCCGTCTTCAGAGCAGATATTGAGGCTTCTACCTTGTCAGGCCACTCTGCCATCGACGCACCATGGCTCCAGACAACCACCTCCTCCTGCGCGAGTCCATCTACACGCATCGGGCGCCGAGTCTCCGCTGCGCCACGCCGCCGAGATCCGTTGTCTTCGATGCGGAGGAGGAAACACCGCTCCACCTCTGGGCGCATCGCTGGCCACCTGTCGCGATGTCGTGCAAGTCCAGCTCTGGGAAAGCACGCAGGGAATCACGATCTTCAAGACGACGCCCTCAGGAGGGGAAGCGACGTCACGCCATCGTCTGGTCCTGCACCGCAGGATCTGGGCTTTCACCAGCGGAGGAGGTCGGAGAACTCCACAACGGCCCCCATGAGGAGAGCGACATCCGCAGACACCGCGCCGTCGGCTTTCGTCTGAAGCAACCCTACCTCCGCACCCTCACGCCGCCGGACGAGGATGGGGGAACCCCAGCGCCGCCAGCATGCGAACCCACTGGCCCAAGCACCTCTTGCGCAGCGGCGGCGGCGCCATCACCATGCACGACCACCAACCTCACCGCCGGCCGAAGCCAACAGGCCAGATCCACCGAGCCCGTCACGGCCAGATCTGAAACCTCGGGACGCCGTCGCATCGAGGCAACCACGAGCAGCCGGCAACCCATCACCTGCGAGAGGACGAGGACGCCGCGCCGGGCAGCCGCCACGTCAGCCGGAGACGCCAAGGACAAGACTCCCACCACCACGGGCTCATACCGGCAACCTAGGCCGCCGAGCGCGCGGAGATCCCCGCCGCCGCCGTCCTCTGGCGCGGGCTTCGCCCGGCGGACTCATCAGGCGACGGCGGGAGGGGGGTGTGCTGTAGAGGGGAGCGGCGGCGGCGTTCCTAGGGTTCCCCTGAGCCGCCCTAGGGACGACGCGGGGGTCGGGCGTGGCTCGTAAGGGATATGAAAGAAAATCATGTCCTGTCTAAACTTGCCTGTGGCCTGCCACTCCCGGGCTTCTTGAAGAATTTTGCCATGCGGGGGGTGGGAGGTGGAAGAGCGTTTTAACCTCTAACCGAACCGAACACAAAATATTCCTTAATCCTTGTGTTCAGAGTTTACACTTCGACATACGATCTTTTTTTCTGGGCGAAAACTTTTGATTTTTTCATATTCAATCATTACAGTACAATGAACACCAAAAACAATAAAAATTACATTTAGATCCCTAGACCACTAGCAACGACTACAACTACTAAAGCGAGCCAAAGATGCGCCGCTGGTATCAGCCATCACTTGTCGGAGCCGGGCAAACCTTGTTGTAGACAGTCGGAAAGTCGTCGTGCTAAGGCTTAATAGGACAAATGCACCAGAACAACAACCGTCGCCGGTGAAGAGTAGCGTAAATAGGGAGGATTCAACCTGAAGACACGTGAATGTAGACGAATAGATCCGAGCAAATCCACCAAAGACATATACGCCGGAAACACACCTTCACACGCCCACCGATGCTAGACGCATCACCGGGACGGGGGCTAGGCGGGGGGGCTTATTTCATCTTCAGAGAGCCGCTACCGTCTCGTCTTCCTGAGCAGAACACAAATCCTAACAAAACTCGAAGAAACATCTAAAAACGAAGTCCTTCCGTCGGCAAGGACCGGGATCTAGCGTGCCTCTATAGCCCTAAGGCCATCAGAGGCGAGACGGACCGGCGGCGGCGCCGACGGAAGGCAGAGGAACCCTAGGCTTTTTTTAAGCTAAGGCGGTTGCAGCTGCCAATGACACACGACCCTTGCTTCGGAGTGGTCTGCTGAACAACTCGACTTATGGTTATCGCATTAATGAATTTCGTCACCTGAAAGAACTTCGCGAGTTTATTTGATCAAATCGTAAAAAAAATAGGGTCGCAAACTGTTTAACAAACTACCCCCT